AAAGGTATGCATCATTATCAGTTATCTTAATACTCTTACAGGGAGATGGGAGATAGAGACAGGAAATCTCCAGAAAGTGATAGGTCACCTATCATATGCAGTTGAAAAACAAAAAAGAGACCCTGCCTCAAGGTAGAAGGTTAGAACTGACACTAGAAAGTACACTCTGGTCCCTACACGTGCTCTGAGGCTTGTATGTACCGGCATTCACACACACAAGTATCCATATACACATACACAAATAGGCATACACAAATACACACACACATGAAAGAAAAATAGGACTAGTAAGATAGCTTAATCAGTATAGTTCTTGCTGTGCAATCATGAGAACCTGGTTCTATGCCTACAACACACATGTAAAAAAATACATTCACTTTTAAACCCAGCACTGAAATGGCAGAGACAAATGATCACTGGGACTTGCTGGCCATCTATCCTATTGTACTTTTTGAGCTCCAGAACAGTTAAAGACCCTGTCTCAATAAAATTCAAGGTGGAAAGACACCTTGAATAATAATGCCCAAAGTCTTCTCTAGCATCCACAAATAAGCACACATAGAGACAGAGGCACAGACACACACATACATACACACCAGTGACAGCATTTGTCAAAAAGGCTGTGATTTGAAGTGTCATCTGGGTCCAAATCCTATAAATGTGTTTCAATTCTACCTAATATCTTACACACTCTCTATATGTCCATGTCAGCTTCTTCCCAGCACCATCCAATCCAATAGGTTTTCCCTTTTGAAAGTTAAGAAAGCAAGTCTCACAGTTACAGGGCTGCCCCAGAGTGGCAAAGTTAAGTTATAATGCTCACCTTCCCATGGTGTCTCTGACAGATGCCAAGACACATTAACTCTTAGACTTTGCTGACAGCTAAGTCTTTTCTTTGTATCCTAAACTACAAGATGGTCAGACCTCCATGTCATGTGTAAAACCTCCTGATCCAGGAAACTAAAAAAAGCCACAGGGAAGAGGAGATTAAAGATAATTTTTAATAATATTTAAAGAACTCACCCTTTTCTGCTGGAGCAATCTGGAAAGTTATTACTAATATTTCAGCAATTATTAAGATATACTTCCTACTGCATTAAAGGCATAAAATTAAACCTTTAAGTACAGCATCCAAGCACCACAATCATGGAAGTGTATGTGCAAGCATGATCTATAAACAGATTATGAGATGACCTACTGGGAATGAATATCTCCCCTTAATATATCCAAAGCACCCTCTCCCTATTAATGTTCATGTGACAGTCACAGAGAAAATGACTCACACTAATCTTATTACAAAGCATTCCTTTTAAAGGAATGAGTACGCCTTAATTAAACTTGAGATTAAGATTTAGTATTGTGGAATATTTTGTTCATACTCTGACACTCACGAAACTGCTAATAAAGTTTGCTTTGAATCAGAGGACATAGCTAGCTACTAGATGACCAAAATTAGCCATAGAGATTTTGGAGAACTGCAGTGATGATCACTGCAACAGCCTTCATATTAACAAGAAAAATAGAAGCAGAGTCACTTGATACAAGCTTTACGTGCCGAGGGGAGCTTCATACACAAAGACCTAAGGAAACAGGAGAAGTATTTTTGTGGTCAGGAGATGGGAAAAGAAAGCAGCATAGTGATGGAATAGCAAAAAGCTAGGGTAACTTACCAAGGCCTGCTTGTTCAGAGTCTTCACAGGTTACCAGAAAATAGGAGGGCTCCTCTGGAGGGAGTGGCTTGTGTCTACTTTGGAGGTAGGTCAGATAATTCTTTTATGGCCTACTTCAAGGTAGGATGGTAGATCAAGGCTAGGGAGTGGACCTTCCTCCTGACAGTTTCCTGGTTTCTTTCATCTTAAACTGTTCCAGGAGCCAAGGGGCCATCTTCCTGGGCAACATGTTCTAAGCACCATCAATAGCAACAGAAATATAATATATATATTATTCCCTAGAGACTAAAGAAACAACATAAATATGAACATATGTAAACAAACAAATGTAAGAGAAACACTGAAGCATTTCTTGACAGGAATCCAGCTAGGTGACATGATAGGGCATGATCTTCACCAGGGCAACTTGGGTGGTTTCAGGGAGGGTTGAATAGCTGAGACAGGAGACAGAGATTACTCCTCAAACCTGCAGGGTATTCCCGATCATTGTGCTGATCATCTGGTGCTGGGCAGTGTTCTACTTTTAAACTTGAGAAGGAAACCAAATAATCAGTTGTGAAATAAGAGGTCACTCTGTACTTCAATATTTTCTTTTCCTTGTTACATGGGTCTTACTGAGTAAGCCAAGGCCACCCCTTGTGCTGCTAGGCAGAATCCAATGCCTCAGGTTACAGAAAAAAATTCTGGAGTGCCATCATGTTCAAGAGGCTAACTCAGTGGTGTAGCCTCATTAACAATAATAACACTTGCTTCAGGGGAGAAGCCCATTAGTGACTTACTGCTATTACTACCTGGTATGAGACATAAGTGGCTTAGAACTCAGATACCAGACACAGCACTGAGCATCTCACACATAGGCAAAGAAAAAAAAATTGATAGGCCCATGCTTTAGATGGTAGGCTGCCAAACCTCCCTTCAAAATGTGCAACTGTGTCAATTTCAAACCATGAAATGCTCTCAGCCTTAACCCAGAACTTCCAGTGGTACAACAGGATTCTGAAGGTGCCAGTCTGCCCCCTGGAGAAGCTGCCAGTGCTGCAGGTCTGGGTTCTATGCATCCTGGTTACCTGAACACCATTATGGAGTTATTTGTCACCAGAAGGTAGCATGGCTGGGAAATAGCCATCTTCTGAAAAGGTCAGACTGTGCATAATAATGAAGGCTCCCACCCTATCCATGGCATCATGAGTTAGGAGGGTAAATGAAAACAACAACTGAGAATCTTTGTGGTTGTGGCTGTGTTGTTTAGCTGACACCCAAATAAACTGTCATGCAATGTAATGTAAATATCATATCATAGTTTGATAAACACAGAATATACACTTCTATGTAGAAGGACTTGGTGTAACAGAATAGTAACAAAAGTTCACTATCTACTGAAGCTGGAATGTATCTGGTGTGTGTGTGTGTGTGTGTGTGTGTGTGTGTGTGTGTGTGTGTGTGTCTGTGTGTGTGTGTTTGGTGTGATATGTATGTAATGATTTTTTCCTTATATATTATAGTCTGCAAAGATGTGAGTTGACTCCACAATTTAGACTGGGGAAATGCTGTGACCAGGCTAGAAACACTAAAACAATTTTCAAAACATAATATGCTTAGTTTTAAAAAAAGATACAATTGTTTACAGAAATCAGCTTAAGCTAAACAATGCTGGTTATGGTAAGTGCATTCGATAATTCATACATAATGCTTTATATTATAAAACAGGCCATCATCCGCACCATTGGAGTCTGTGACTCCATTGCCATGGTCTTCAGCCCTGCTGGATTCAATGCTTAGTTGTCTTCTTTAAAGAATTACATTTTAAGAAATATCACCATCTCCCAAATACCGTAACATCTCTATCAACCACAAGAGAGAGCCATTAGCAGTCACTCCCATGTCATCCTTCTCCCGGTCCCTAGGAACTTCTAAGTTACTTTTCTTCCTATTCAAGTCCATTTGTATAAAAATAATTTAAATGCCCTCTTTAGAATTGTGAATAAAATCTTGAGAAAACATAATCTACTTGTTCACATAAAATTTAGCTATGTTTATCAGACCATGTGTTCTGTCATATAGCTGTGTGTTCTTCCATGCATTAGCTCTGCCTTTAGTACCTTCAGTGGTTTCTAAAACTTCACCAAACACTAAACCAGTACATGTTAAATTTACATTTGAATTCTAAGTTTTCAAACTCTAGTAGCCAAGCTTCAATATCTTCGCAATGCATTTCAATGATAAATTTCAAAGTAAAGACAGTAATATTGCATCATCTAGGGTCTGCATGTTTGGATGCTTAACATAGCAGTGGACAGGGGAATGGATGAAAGTGGAATGTCCCTCAGCTGTGTTTTCCATGTCATGTGTTTAGCGAAACTGGGGCCACATTTTTGGTCATAGGAATTTTCTGGCTTTCCCTTTGAGACATTCACTCCCCATTAAACTTCCCAGATAGTCTATTTCTAAAGTCCCACTGTAGCATGTTATTCACTGGACCCACATGCAAACCAAAATCAGATAGGAGCCATGTTCATTTGATCTGACTTAGTGGCAAGTTACCCTGCCAGTCAAGGTAAGCCCAAACACCCAAAAGCTTTATTTCACCATGTGTTACATCAACAGCTTCAGCAGCATCAGTAGTATAGTGTGACTTACTTTTGATTTCCACCACTACAGACATTGAACCTAACCACACAGGAATTCATGTTTGTGTGACAGAAGCTGGACGCTTGCTTCATAACCAGTAGGACTTTGTAGTTTTGTCCTTTTGCTGTGATTAGAGGCTGACATAATAAATCCTCCCTTCCTCTCTAGCACACTTCAAAACCATTTTTGAACTCCATTGATCCATTAAGTTTCAACTTTGGTAGATAGTCGTTAGAGAGAAATGTGTTGGCATGAAGAGAAAAACAGGCCGAGGGACCAGGAAGGAAAGGAGGCACCTGACACAAAACAGATGTCCCTTCACTGAAGAAGGAATAAGTGAAATTAAATTGTGTGCAGAGCTAAAGCTATACCAGGTGCTCTAGTCTCTACAGGACCCATAAAATACATAGGAAGTTGATGTGCACTGCCTGTTCTGTTTTAGGACTCCACGATTTAGTTTCTGTCTTAGCATTTGCACAGTAATAATTTTACTACAAAGGGTAAATGTCTTGTAAACTAATGGGAAACATACTGTTTGGCACAGTTTATAATGTCAGGATTTATGGCTCTAACACTGAGGGTCTCTCTGACCTCGAAGATAACATAATGAAACAGCAATGTGCTGCAAATGACTCGTTGTGATTTTTTATTAGTTCCCATAATTGCCCCTTATTAATTTGTGTGCATATAATAAGCACTCACCTTCACAGTCTGTCCAGCCTCAGGACCATCCTAGAAGAAGGAGAAAGAGAGAAAAAGCATTGGGGTGAGAACTGACTGATGATATTGCCTGCTTATTTAGAAATATTGTTCATTAATAATTTAGAGCCAATTTCATTGTGGGTTAATTTGTAGTAATCTCATGGGGACCATTCATTTTGAATGTGTGGGACCAGACAGGTCTCCATTTCCTTCTGAGTGAGGAGTTTTGTATAAAATGATATGAATTATCCAGCAAGCCACTCCTTTCTACTTTTCATGCTCTTTGCTTTCAGCTGTGGTTTTAATTACATTAAACGTAAGGCTGAAAATGTTTGGGGAGGCAAAGTACCACAGTTTGGTTATCTTTAAATCAGAAACCATTTAATTAATATCTGACTAAATTTCTCCCCTAGAAAGTAAGAAGATGAGGCATTTAGATGGACACAGTCCTTTCAAGCTCTTTATCCATGTACCTACTTTCTCTCCCAGCTTCTCACAGAGAGCAAGATCATTGTCTACTGTCATTGGCACAGTGGAAAATGAGCACAGTCTCCATGCATAGTACAAAGGGGAAGCAGGTGCTCCAGGGAGAAGATGGCAAACTTCTCTGTAATAAAAAAATTTCAAGGTAGAATTACCCATCTGTGGATTTGGCTAAATACATCTCTCTATGAACCTGACTAGTGGGAAGAACCCATGCCCCAATGGCACAAGTCTGATATGTATATCAAACCAGTTCCAACCTGAACCATAAGCCATTAGTGGCTTATGAAGGCAACCCATTGTTTCCAACCAATACTCAAGAAGAAAGCATTACAGGAGAAATGCTGTTAGAATGTGGACATGGGTTAAGGTTACTTGGTGAAACTCTAGCTCTATCTTCATAGGTACATGTATATGTGAGGGAGGGGTATATAGGATTGTTATACACACATATGTTCTTGTGAAGTATAATTTTACTTTTTTAATTTTTTGGTTTTTGGAGACAGGGTTTCTCTGTGGCTTTGGAGGCTGTCTTGGAACTAGCTCTTGTAGACCAGGCTGGTCTTGAACTCACAGAGATCTACCTACCTCTGCCTCCCGAGTGCTGGGATTAAAGGCGTGTGCCACCAATGCCCAGCATGTGAAGTACAATTTTAAAGCAGTTTCACAACACTACTTATGCAAATTGCTCTAATTTTACACATACTCAGCAGTCATATTTATGGAACTATGCTCTGATAACCAACACTGGTATCTCCTGGTAGACATTCTCATGCATTTGTTTACCTGGTTAACTTGGAAACAGTTTGCAACACAGATTTGATAAAGCCACCTTAAGTTGAACTACTGTCTGAAGGTGACTCAAAATATATTTCAAGGGATGCCTAGCTACTCAGTATAGAGAACCCAGGATTTGTGTTTTGAGAAAGAGATGAATATTTTTGGTCAAAGACGTCAATATATTGGCTTCTACACCTGGTCTCTTTGGATGTGTATGCCAAAAAGCTCAGGAAAGAGCATAAAGATGGTGTGGTAGTTAAGAATTGATTGTTGAGTTGATGTGTTTTAGAACAAACCTATAGACATGACTATTGGGAGTTTCTAGGTTAAAAAATTGAAGAGGAAAATTCAATGTTAAAAATGGGTAGAAACATTTCATGGGCTAGTGCCCTGAACTAAATGAAAAAAAGAAAGTGAGGGAACTGAGCACCAATAATCTTCCTTCTGGGCTTCACTGTGGCTGCAATGTGACCAGCTGCTTTGTACACCTACTATGTCCCGAATCTCAATCTGTGACTCAAAATGAACCTTTGCTTCCTTAATGTAGGTCTGTCGGGGTATTGTGTTACAGCAATGAGACTAACTGATGCAGAAGGGAAGTGTCCTGGCTAAGCGGAAGAGCTAAGGATACAGTCTCCATAAATGGGAGAAGTCAGTCAACATATTTCTAAGCACAAGAGCCCTTACACATACACTGTTGTCCCTAGCCCAATACATAGGGATCTAAAGAGGTTCGTGGATAGTTACTGCTAATTTACTCAGCTCCTAAATAACGACAGACACATCATGGAATCCTCTTCTCAAACTGAAGACTACTATGCCAAGTTCTGCCTATAGATCTCTAGTGATTGAAATGGGTTTTCATTATGTAGTGGGCCATATTCAATAATCCCATTGCATAAACCTGTGACTTATCTCTGCAGTCTCTGTAAAGTTTAGAGAAAAATAAGATAAAAGAGGGCTCAAATTATTTGTCTCGTCTTTGCTCTCCTTAGAACCACAGCAGGGCTGAGTCCATGTGTGCTTAAAACATATATGCCACAGAGCAAAAAGGCTTTCCCAACTCTAGTTCTCATGTACAATCCCAGTGCTGGTTAGCTTTTGTCAACTTTACACCAAGTAGAAACAACTTGGAAGAGAAAAGCTAGGCTGAGGAATTTCTGTCATCAGGTTTGTCTGGGGACATGTTTGTGGGGGCATCTTCTAGATTGCTAATTGATTGGGGATGGATGGTCTGTCTTACGATGACAGGGTGAACCTTGGGCAGGTAGCCATGATTGTCTAAGAAAGGTAATTGACTGTGTGAGTTTGGAAGCAAGCCAGTAGTCAGTGCTGCCCTTGGTCTCTGCTTCCATTCCTGCCTCCATATTGCTAACTTTTAGGCTTTTGTCCTAGCTTCCCTCAATGATTGGCTTTAGTGTAGAGACATTAGTCAAACAAAGCTTTTCTTCCTCCAAGTTGCCTTTGGTTTTTGTCTTATCACAACTGAGAAGCAAACTAATTCAATCCCCTTAACTCTTGTCTATGATTTGCATCTACTTTGTAAACAGTGTACCAGACATTTGCTCTGATGCCATTCCACAATCCACCCTGGGGAGAAGGGACAACAGAGCTGCCTTGGATTAGTGACATCTGTTTCTGCTGTTATGTACATGTGGACAACTAAAACTGCTTCTCTGCTAAAATAGCTGGGATACAGAGCCCCACATAGGTTTGAGAAGAAAGAAAGAAACACATCTAACAATCTGTACACTCACTTGCATGGAGAAGGTGATGGAGGTCCCCTGGAAATGCTTCTCCACTACTGTCCCCACTCTCTGGGTCACTTGAAACAAATCAGCCACTTCATCAGGACGTAGGTCACGGAAACGCTCCACTGGCCTCAAGGGGCACACAAGGACATCTGTGGTAAGGTGGGTTAAGGAAAGTTCGCCTTGCTTGGGTAGCATTCTTAGGGAGTAATTATACACAGCACTGAGACCCTTTGATTCAGGGCCCGAACTCTTGAAGACTAAGAAATGAACAAAGAAATACTTAGCAACCAAGAGTTTTAAAAGATGGTTAGTTTACTTCAAGGGAGACACCTTGGCACAAAGAATTTAACAAAAGACATGGTAATATGCATAGTGATACCATTACTCTCTGTGATAATAACAGAAGGAGGCAAGATCTATTCTGGGCCATTATATCCTGACCCCCATTCTGAGGCAGCTAAAGACATTACAGCAGAAGAGCAACTGGGATATCTAGGTGTTTTTGCTAATTGGAACATCATGATTACACTGTCAAGTTTCCTTTTAGAGAAAAGATAGAAACCTAGGAAATGTCTGAAGGCAGACTATTTTAAAGGCTTGCAGAAACTCAGAAAAATTACAGTGAACCTCATCTGTTACTAACTGATGAGCCACAGTGGTCACATGTATTACATAGGTAAGCAGCTTATAACACAGGTTCCTTGAATTGGCTTCTCATAGTCCAGGATGTTTCCAGTTAACTATTTAAAGAGTCATCTCTTGTATACAAGAAGCTGATGTATTGAATTCTACAAGTTAGACAGGACAACACATTTACATTTCTACCCAGGTCTAGAGAAAAATGATTAAAGTTCATGATTTATTGGTAGCAAACTTATAGTTATGATTACAGTCATATTTGACACCTTTTTGTACTCGAATCTATGGTATATTCATGTGTACACACATATGTATAAGATATACAGATTTGCCCTTGTGTGGTATATACATAAATGCTTCTTGACTTGAGAAGGAGGCATATCTCAATAAGTAAGATAAACTATCTTTTCACAAATTAATGTAATACAGATAACCTAAGAAGCATCATGGTTTAGTCTAGCCTTATGTAAACATTACCTTACAAATGGGAAAAATTGCCTAACTTACAAAGTTCATTTTCAAATAATGTGCTGAAAATCATATGTAATTGATTAAAGGCTATAATATAAGTGAAAGTCTGGGTGGCTAGATTGGAATGCTTTCCCACTATTGTAACTGAGAAATTAATGTCAATCCATTATACATGGTGATTTTCTATGTGCACATACATACAGCATTTATTATTTGTTCAGTTTCCAGATACTTGATAGTGAAAACAAAACTGTTAATTTTTCTTTAAATTTACCACCACTCCCCATTCTTCTTCTTTTAAGAAAGCATACTTCTGCCTGGAGCCAAGCAGCAAGGGATCTAATAAAACCACATTCCAGCAATTGCAAGTCTCACCAGAATACAAAGCACTTTAACCCATCTCACTGTTGGACTCAAGGCCTAGGGGAAGTGCACAGAGCTCAGCTTGGCCCTATTTTTATATGAGAAAGGGGAGAAAGAGGTAAACAGATGAATTTGGCTTATATTATGGGAATTCACATCAACAATAAACTAGGAAATGGGCTATTTGTTTAATCTGAACTCATTTTTCAAGAGGGAGAAGGGTTGCCCCGTCCACAGAGCATCTGATACTAACAAAGATAATTACCCTTCTCTGGCAAGGCTGTTTGATTACCATGGGTCAATGAGACACTTAAAAAATGAAGAATTTGCTTTATTTTTCTCTTAGCAGATTGCCAGCCTCTACTCAAACAGGGTTGTTTTATTTTTGGTAAGAGGGACCATTTCCCATCTTCTTCTTCCCTACTTTTTTCCAACATATTACTTTTATTGATTATTTGTGGATTTCACGAAATACACACTTATCACACTTTCATCCCATCCTCCTAGGTTCACCCCCCCCAACACACAAGCTACACCAAGTACAATTTGTGTTGACCCGTACACTCACTGGAGCATGGTCAAACTCCAGTGGCTAGCCCCTTATATACAGTGGTGTCCTTTTCCATTCCCTTTTCAGAAGCCATTCATTAATAGTGAAGAGCTTTGTGTCAGCATCTTTATCACAAGTTTAAGGACTCTCTTTAAAGCTTCTTGTCTAGGCTGTTTCTTTGTGGGTGTGTGGGGAGTGGTTTTCGCAGAACCTTTCCATGCCTCTCATTTTCAACTATAAGTCTGGAGTCTTCAAAACCACTGCCACAGAAGCTTCCTTACATATAAGAGCCCAGCGGCAGCACAGACCATGACTTCCACATGGGTTCCAAGACTTCAGGGACAATGGACATCCACAGGTATTCAGAGGCATCAAGGATCATGGATCTAGCAGCACAGACCACAGATATCAACATGGCTCTAGCATAGATCACAGATATCATGATCTCCCGTGGCTGTATGGACTTCAGATATCCCCATGTCCTCTAGTGGTAGTATGGGCAATGAACATCAACATTTTCTCAGGCAGCATAGAGCACAGACACCAACATGGCCTCCAGTGGCAAACAAGAACCATGGTCATCAACAAGGCCTCACATGGTAGCTTGGACAACTGGCAATAACAAGGCTTCTGGTGGCATCTCATTCTATGTACACTAATACGGCCTCAGGAGGCAGCACAGACTGCATACATCAATATGGCCTCCTGAGGTGGCACTGATCACCGACATCCATCTGGTCTCTGGACCATGCACACCAGCATGGACTCGGCTGTAGTATGCCAGCAGCTCAGAGTATGGAGGCTTTTTGCGGAGGCCCAATCCAGAAAATGAACCATTCTCCATCTTGGATATCCTGCCATTGCTTAGAGCCAAGGCAATCTCCAGGCTACAAAGACTAGTGTTTTGTAATTCTTCAAATCACATCCATGCCCTCTGAGCAGTACTCAGATATCCCCACTCCTCTTGGGAGAAAGTTCAATGTCACATTCCAGATGGTCGACAGACCATGAGCTGCATTTACCAGAGATTCAACCATTCTTCTTGCTGCTTTTCTTGTGAGTTTCTGTCTCAGGAACAAAGACTGGAACTCTTCAGGATCTGTTCATGCTGCCTCTTCTCTCTTCGCCATTCAGAGCTCTTTGTTCTTCTCCACGGGTGGTCATTTCCAGCTAAGCACTGTGAGATCTGGGAGATTTCAGGGCTGCTGGGCTGCAGTTCCTGCCACTGCACTGCTGACTGGTAACTTTCCCAGGTTTCTCTGAGCAGCAACTATGGCTTAGGGGAGTTTGCATGTCCCCCAATACCTGGCCAGGTTCTTCCACAGCCAGTTCTGGACCACAAGGCTCCCTGAAGGCCAACAGGGAATCCTCCTCCCTATTTTAATTTACATGTTCATAAGTCAGTTCATCAAACAATCCAAGATGACAACCACACAGCTTCTGGAAATTGCTGTGGTAGGCCATGTCTGTCTCCAGCATCTGGCTAGGGAAGGACTGGAGTCTCAAATAAGAAACTACTCACTGTGGAAATTGGTGGGATGGAGCTGTAATATCAGTAGCACACAACAGGTTTTCCTTGTTGATGCCACAAAACAAAACAAACAAAAACAAATACAGTATTAATTTTGCTTCTTAGGTGGTAACAGATAACTTAAGTCAATGTTTAATAGTGAAAATATGGAGGGCATTATATCAAAATGACTCCTAAACTTTGTCTTCTGTTTACCCAACTTCAGGTCATGTAGCACATACATCCACTACTTTCAGGCTATTATTAGTAGTAACACATGTCATGAAGAAGTTAAGCAGACTTAGTGAACTCTCATTGGGATGAAGACCCTTTGCTCCAGCTGGGCAACACTGTTGTACATTTGTGTGTGTGTGTGTGTGTGTGTGTGTGTGTGTGTGTGTAGAACTGTGCATGTATAGTCTCTGTAGCCAATCATTTGCTAGTGAGTCACCTTATTGGCATACAACATACATTAGTATGCAGCCTATAATAAGATAAAATAAAATGAACTCTCATGTGACTATTCTCTTGGCTGGAAGGCAAAAAACTGATCAGACAGGCAAGCTCAGAGCTCTCTTCTAGGGGTCATTTTGCATAGTGTTTTAGAGGCTCTAAATCTGCCAGACATCATGTGAATGGCTGAGATGGTCAGTGGCAGAGATACTATCCAACCTTCTCCCTATGCCTAGGTGATCTCTGTCTACCTGCAGAACATCCCTTTCCTAGTCCTTCCTTAAACACTATGGACACCCATCTTTCTTTTGATCCTTAAACACACTAAGCTCCTTCCCAATTTGGGGGAGCTTTCCTCCAACTATTTCCTGTCTAAATTTTAGTTCCCCATCATCGTTACATGATTGCTTCCTTCTCATCACTTCAATTTCAATTCCATAGAATTCTTTGAGTAAATGACTCAAATGATTCTATGGTAAACATTTTATATTATTATCTTATTCAATTTAAATTCTTCTTATAGCCCTGGCCACCAACTGTTATGGTTATTGACTGGTAACCACTTACCCAAATGAGTAAGTCTCACATGAAGAATTACTTGATCTTGATTGGTGCCTAGAACTCCAGAACCATTCAGTAATGTTGAAATGCATAGATAAATGATAACCATGCACTCTATCAGCTACCTCTGAGTTCTAAGAGCTTGACTAACTAGAGGCAATATTAATGCAATATCTATGCTTAGATGTAGATAGGAATAATATATTGGCTTTTTCCCTTTAAATCAAGGAGATTTGTTTTTAACATGAATCATGGTTAGAACTGATTTTTAGTACTAATTTGGAAATGTAAACTTATTTTTTATGTAAACTAGTATTATATGAGCCCAAAGCAAATATAGTCATGGCAGTAAGATTATTTTAACAACCTCTTAGAATTAAACAAAAAAGGTTTCCAGAAGTGGCTTGTTTTTGATGGGAAATTTCCTTCTGTGTATGTTTATCTTATTGCTTGTTGAATAAAGTACTGTTGGCCAATGAAGAAGCAAGTTAGGTGGGACTAGGAGAGAAGGAGGATTCTGGGAAAGGTAGGAGTCAGTGTCACCATGTGAGCCCAGGAAGACAGGACGCTTGCCGCTAGCGTCCTCTAAGATAAGTTTTTTTATAATATATAGATTATGGTTATGGTTGATAAATAAGACTGAGCTAG